GCAGAAATTAGGTCAAGAAGCCACTAGACAAAGGAAAGGATGTGAATAGAGGCCTGGTTAACCCATAACACCCTGCCAGGAGGTGTCCAGAGATGTTAACTGCAGCCTCAGGACAATGAGACACCTTTTATTCTGCCTAATTGCATCTTCCTGCTGAGAGAGAAGACAGAATTTTAAAGTCTTCCCCGAACTGGGGTCAGAAAAGAAAAGTGAGGTTGATGAACACTCCACCTAAGAATAAAAGCAACAGGCTGAAAATACCTGCCAAAGGCCACAATCCCCAGAAGCACAGAGGTTAGACATAGAGTATGGGACTAGATGGAAAGGAAGAATCTCCCTAGCAAGGGGAAATAGAACATATAGTTATGGAGAGACAGGGGACAGACTGGAACAGGAGGATGACATGAGGACAGGTAAAGGGGAAATACAGGGAGGAACAACTAATACCAAGGAGCATATGAAGGGCCATTTGAGAACCTACTGCAGTAGAAGCTTCTTAAAATACATACATACAAGAGAGAAATCTAAAAGGAGTCACCAACTAATGGGGAGGCAATGCCCCAACTAGACATCTTCCAGCAAGTGAAACCTCCAGTACCAGGAATAGGTTATATCTCATTGAGTCATTGGCCAAAGGTGTCTCATGAGAATCCCCAAACAACCCAGGCTATTGCCAAGGCTATTGGTTACTCTCCATAAAATGATGAGAAGGTCCTATTGCTGAAGATAACACCTATACAACTCAATGAACACGGCAATGTTGAGCTGGTGCCTACTGATTAGTGTTCATGGTACTAGAAGATACTCTGCATGCTACCAGAGGAGAAAGGTAACCATCAACCCAGCTACAAAACCTGTGATCTACAATGGTGACCCTCCTGCAATAGTGGCACAAAATTGTGGGGTTAACCAACCACCATCTGATTGGATTTAGTGTCCATGAGATGAAACCTGTGCCTGACACTACCCTGGTGGTCAAGAATCTGAGACTAGGTAGACCATGGACCTAGGGAAAACCAAATTCTACTGTTTTGCTAAGGGAACACAGCAATAAAATGACTCCCAATGACATTCTGCTATACCCATAGATAAATATCATATTCAGCCACCATCAGAGAAGCTAGGTAGATGGGAACAAATACAAAGACCCACAATTGGACAACATGCAGAGAGTGAGAGACCTTGGAATACTCAGTCCTAAATGGGATGTCTCTATCGAATCCCTCCCCTCAGGGCTCAAGGAGCCTTGCAGAAGAAGGAGCAGAAAGATTGTAAGAGCCAGAGGGGATGGAAGACAGCAAAGAAACAATGTCTTCCAGACACAGCAGGACAGACACACACATAAACTCACAGAGTTTGTGGCAGCATGCACAGGGCCTGCATTGGTTCATATGGGGCCCCGATGCTGAGAGGGGAAAAGGACATACACCCCCATCCCTGACCAATAAGCTGTTTAATTGACAACTGCTTTCTCCACTGGAGTCCCATTGTGTATATAAACCAGACTCAAGGGCATGCCCTATGCCCAGCAGTAGATGGCCAACACAAAACAAATTTAATGGTGTTTGTTTTTTTTTATCTCATATTACTTTGTTTGGGCAGTTTTTTAAAATCCTCACTGGTCTTTTGTACTTATATTATGGTTTCCAATATTGTGGGGGTTTTTTTTGGTGTGTGTGTATATGTGTGTTGTGCTTTTTCTCTGTTTATTTTATTTTATATTTAGTTTTCTTTTTAATCTGGCTGTTTGTTTTCTAAAGAGAGAAAGAAGGGTGGAGTTGGATGTGTGGGGAGGTGGAGAGGATCTGGGAGGAGATGGGGAGGGGAAACCATGATTAGAGTATATTGCATGAATTCTCAATTAGAACAATGTAGAAAAATGATAATTTTTGAGGAATAACTTTTAGTTACTGTACCTGAATAGCTTATTAACCAAGAAGGCCCTTCCTTAAGCCTTCCGATTTTGGCATTATAGTGTATTGTGTTTTGATTGATTAAACCTCACAGAGCCAGGGCTTTCTTGAAGAACAGTGCAAGTTCTCTTTCTGTTCAGCTTCTTACAAAGGAAAGGCTAGCATAGTCCTTTGCTGTGAATGAAGGGCTCTCCTCTGCAGGTTTTGGATAGCATTAAATCATTTCTTCATTTGTATATGCACCCAAAAAAATCTACTGTACATCTACTATGTACCCAGCCTATCCCTCCAGTTTAATGTGGAGATGGATATGTAAACAAACACAAAACTACGTGTTACCTGGATGCACAGAGGGCATCAGAGGATGCTCTGGGAACACAGAAGAAGGTATCTCCCAGCAGATCTCCCCTACCCTTGCAGAGTGGTGAAGGTGAGAAGGACATTCCAGAAAAGGAATGTCAAATGTGACAGCAAATGAATAGTTGGGAAGAGTCAGCAAAGAGGGAGACCTCTGGGTACTTAAGTCACTGCAGTTAGAAGAAATCACAGAATAAATTCAAGTCAAACTTTAATTTGAGCACAGTTCCCCACCGACTCCTTTCATGTAGCTTTATGAAGTGATGCAATGGACTCTGATGGGAGCACAGAGAGCCGGAGCCCTGCAAACACGGGCTTGGCAGCGAACTTCTCATGCACGTGGAAGGCTCCCCTCCTGGAGCAGCAGGAAAGGTAGGCTGACAGCAGGTTCAGTAAGATCCAGCCGTAGTCCCAGAGACCAAAGGCACGGAGCTCACACACCCTACGTTGTCCATATTGAAGAGGGTCTATTCAGTGCTATTCTCTGAATGGGCTGGGAAAATAGTAGGAAATTACAAAGGACCCCATTGAAGGGTTAGATATGACCCAGGAACAGCCTCAAGGGATTTGTTACGTGTAGATTTCAGCTTACAGGGATCTTGCTGGGAAGGGGGCACAACAATACTCTTATGCATATACAGGCTGCAGCTTCTGCTACTAAAGTTGTAGTTTCAAAACAAGACCCTCCCCTCTCCTTAGGCGATACAAAGACAGTTTTGTCCATCACTGCAAATGTTCTTTAAAAATTACCTCCTAACAGAGGTACTCAGATAGAGCCATAATATCGGATTAATAACTCCAAGCCAGCAAACCAGACACTTGTTTAATTAATAAAACCTATAAAGCATTACAACTTATTGATGTTACAGGCATGGCATTTTGTACAACAACAAAACCCAAATCCATCCGGAACACTCTGGTTTCTCCTGGAAGCCTGCTCTCCACCAATCTATGCAATTCTGTCTTTAGGGTACAAGGAGCTGAGAAATGAGAAAGACAGTGCGGAGTTCTGGGCAAACAGCTGGGGGACTACAGTAAACACAAACCCCTGTTTTCATGCACAGATCTGCCAAGGGCTTGTTACAGCTCGCTCTGGGCTTGGAGTTCTTGGATCTAGGTTGGAAGCCCAACTCTTAAGCCTCAATTCCTTTATTTATAAAGTGAGACTCGTCATAGGACTCACTTCAAAACACCTATACAAAGATTTAATACGTGAAACATGCTGGCAAATAAGTGCTCACTTACAGGCTCTACTAGCGATTATGATTATCCTTGGCCATCAAGTAATGGGATGTGCTGTGTTGTTCTGGCCCGCTGTTTGTCTTTCCCCACAGTTTGTAATTGGGGGAGATTTGAAAAATTGATTCAACATTTATTAGGACGAGGCCCTGACTTCAGAACTATAGAATTAAGATAAGTTTTGCCACAGGCAAATCAACCTGTCTTTTTTTTTTTAATTACTTCATTAAAGTCTGCTTGTCACCATATTTCCAGTAGGTACCAATGAGGATGTGTTTGAAGAAAGAGTGGGTCGAAATCCTAGCTCTGCCTTTCACTAGCTGTCGGACCATGGCCTTGAAGGCCTCTCTATGCCTCAGTTTCCTCTTTTGTTAAATATGAATAATATTAGTATTTACCCTACAGGATTTTCGTGACGATTGAATAAAATAGTGCATGTAAAGTACTTAAAACTGTGCCTGGCATATAGCAAGTTCCAAACAAATGACAGGTAGTGTTGTTATTATTACATATGACTTGTTATTACTGAGAGGTTGAGAGCTTAGTGAATCTAACCTATGTAGCTGAGGATGGAAAAACAGATGGGAGACAGGTCTTTGTGATCTCAGGCCTGACACCCTTTGAATTTTACACAATCGAGAGAAAATAGTGACAGGTATGGTCCTGCCTATTCTCACTTGCTAATGGATGAAATGTCTGTAAATAATATACCGCCAGGTGGGTACAGTGGTCATGTTCCTCAGCCTGACTCTGCTTGGAGAACACTGCGGTCTCAGCTGTCCCCTCCCCACAAAGCAATCAGCATCCTCTGTGCACCCTCCCCCACCCTCAAAGATCCCCGGGAGTGCAGCCTAGCCACTATGCCTGGGAAACAGAGGAGGGGGGCTAGAAGCCCAGATCTTTCCCCACTGAACTCGCAGCTGCTGGCTGGGGACCAAAGCTCTCACCTGGAGAGGGTCCTGGAGGATCTGGCTGCTGGCAGGGGACTTGAGTCTCAACACCTAGAAGCTCTGCCCTCCTCTCCAGCTTTCTGCTCGGTTAGCCTCTCTTCACCCTCTTCACTCCCCGCTCCCCGCCCCCCACCCTCAGCAGGAAAACTTCCCGCTCCTGCTGCCACTTTGTCATCGGCATCCAAACCTCTGCCCCGCATGCATCTTGCCTTGCAATTTCCCGGTCCGTGGCACAGAGAACCGACCCGAGGGCCTCTTGGCAACTAGAAGGAATCCCTGGGGGCTTGAGGTGGGGGATGGAGAGGCATATCACCCCCCCCCCCCAAGCGCCAACTCTGTACATCCTCTGCCCCCTCCCAGGGAAGATAGAAAGGGGGCGCGCCCAGAAGGAAGGGGCACATGCCAGAGCCTCCCCCAAGTCACTCTAAGGTGCCAATGAGGACCCTAGCAATCTCTGAGGACCTCACAAGCCCACACGCGCCCGGCTACATAACCCTTTCCCAGGTGAGCCAAAGCCTGGCTGCTGGGGCGCAGTACTTACTGTCGGGGACCCTCTCCGGGCCCTGGCTGCTTGGCTGTGGAGCGGGAACCCTCCCGCCCGCCGTCTCTCCGGTGCGCTGCCCCTGCCCGTGCCCAGCGCAGACACTAGCAGCAGCAGCGTCTGTAGGAAGAGAAAGATCACGCCTGCCTTAGAAACCCAGCCCCTGCTGTGACCAGAATCTTAAAGAAGGAGGCGACTGGCTGGGCCCCAGAGCAGAGGCTGGGGTGATGAACTAAGCACAGAGCTGGTAAACACAACCTCAGCCCCTCTTTTCCACCTGGATTCTGGCCTCAGAAGCAGTCTGGTGCCCCTGGGGGACCCCTCCCTCTGGGAACAGAGGTGTGTGGATAATCCAGCTACCGCTTAGCTAGGCTGGCCGCTACTTTGCATTCATTTTCTCATTCCAGCGCCCTCTTTATTGTACAGAAAACAAAACTGATGCGGGGGAGGGGGAGCAAAACAAATGCCCCCTGAGATTCAGGAGACACGAACTGGTGGGGCCAAGGTTAGAAACCACAGAGATCTTAAATGAGGGGGTACGTGGCACAAACTCCACTTTGTATTACTGCAAAGTAGCGTTTGAAATCCAGTGTCTTTACCTCTCCTTTCCCCATTTTTCTAACTGGACTAAAGTAAGGAAGGACAAGTGGCAACCCCAAGCATCCTTCGTTAGCACAGACAGTTCATTTTTTTTCATTTGGGTTTTTGAGACAGGGTTTCTCTGTGTAGCTTTGCGCCTTTCCTGGAACTCGCACTGTAGACCAGGCTGGCCTCGAACTCACAGAGATCTGCCTGCCTCTGCCTCCCGAGTGCTGGGATTAAAGGCGTGTGCACTGCCCGGCGCGACAGTTCTTTTCTTAACATTTGATAGGTACCTACTATGTGCCAGGCTCTATGGGAGACAGACAAGGGAGAGGGGAATGTCTGGATCCAGGTGGTCTTCTCTGAAGTCTGGGTTATGCTAGGAATTCGTCGAGGATCGTGCTCAGGTCCTAAAGATGAGAGCAGCCAGTGTTCTCAGGTAATCCTCACAGTAGAACTTCAGAGAGCCACTGATGGGGGACCAGAGAGAAGCTCCTAGAGACAATTTGGGGAGGATCTTGCAGTGGGGGCTGATTCTAACTCCTTCCTGCTACTGGATTGAGGACCCATATGAAGGATGAGTAGAAGGTGGCTTTGTTAGGAGATTAAGCCTCATTGGCTTCCCTATGGGTATCAGGTCACACTTGCCTTTCTTTGGCATTGACATTGGTGAATTGGGAAAGATCGTGTACTCCTTCCTTCCTGGTCAAAATGATCAGATAACATAACATACTTGTCTTATTTTAATCATTTAAAGAGGTCAGTAGAGCTGTGTGTGGTTGGCCTTATCTATAGCCTCAGAGATTTGGGAAGCTGAGTATAAAGTATCACTTGAGACCAGGAATTCAAGAACAGCCTGGTGACACGGTGAGACCATTTTTCAAAACAACAAAAATAAGAAGAGGAACCATTGTAGAACTTATGTTTCTCCCTTCCTTCCTCTGTTGCTTATCCACTCAGTCATTCATGCAGCAAATATTTATTAGCATCTTTGTGTGCTGGATACTGTGCTAGGAGCACACTTCCATAGTCCTGTAGGAGAGTCCACCTTGCAAGGCAGAGAGATCACAAGACTGGAAGTTAGGAAGCATTTAAAGCCCCAGTTCTTTGACTAAATGGCTGTGTGACCCTGCATGAGTCATGTATCCCTTTGGGACCTCAGTTTTCTTGTTGGTCAAACAGGGATAATAACACCTTCCAGTCCAGCTTTCTGGGGGTGTTTGTGATGCTGGAGGGAGGTAATGGATGTGAAGGAGCTTTGAAAAGTATAAAGCCACTAGACAAATGTCAGGGATTAGTCTGTCTCCAAGATGGGAGGGGGCTACTGGGAAGTAAAGCTGAAAAGAAATCCTGGCTGACTCTCCAAGATTGATTGCACTGAATTTCATCTTTCCAGAACTACTGAGCCTGCAGCTAGGCAGCCCTTGCTCTGTAAAATGGCATCCTCCCTCAGCGGTGCCTAGGACATACTGATTAGTAATGACTTGGCCTTAAATGGGGGAGATTGTTTTGGGGACTTGAATGGAACCAGCAGAACTGTCTGGGTTCTGGATCTCTAACTAATGACAATAGCAGCCTCCTCCTCTTCCTCCTCCTCCCATGAGACTATCCAGTCCCAGGATTGCAAGTGTCTGGGTTGAAACCTCTTGAGGCCCCCAAGACACATTCTGTTTAGAAAAGCACAGAGCTCATGGCAGACAGCAAATGGTGGTCCAGAGCATGAAGGCTTACTTTGGCTATTAGCTGGGGTTCTGTGTTCTGCCCAAGTAGCTGAGACTTGCAACAGAACTAGTAGAAACTTTGGGAGGGTCTTTCGCTTGTTTAGCTCATCTCATGGACCACCCCAAATATCTCTACAATCTAAATTACAACACAATTGTCCCTTGGTATCTACAGGGAAGGTTTCGGGATCCCAACAGATGCCAAGATATAAGGATGCTCATCTCCCTTATTTAAAATAGCACAGTATTTGCATATAATCTATGCACATCCTCTTGTATACTTTAAATCACCTCTAGATTACTTAAAAATCCAATACAATATAAAAGTTATGTAAGTAGTTGTCATGCCATATTGGTTAGTGAATAATGACAAGAAATAAAATTTAACACAAACATAATTCTCTTTAGAATTTCTTTTTCTTGTTTTTGCAAAAGAAGCAAGATAATTTTATTCTTTGGACTATTTTGATTTACAGTTGGTTGAATCGGAGAATGCAGAGCCCAAGGGAACAAGGGACTGTCTATAGTTTGTCTGCCATGCAACTGTGTCTTCAAGACACATTTCCAGATTTCCAGATGTGCTCACTTTTACCCCCAGCTACTCGAAGCAAACACACTTTAAGGAAACATGGGGTCCTGGTGGGCAAAACCAGTTTCTAGGCACATCTGCTAGCTTCTTCCCTTCCAGTCTCACTTCCTGTCAGATTGTCATCAAGATTGGCTCTAAGAATGCTAGAGGTGATAGAAGACTGAGGGAAGGCTCAGGTACCTAGGAAGCGGAGCCAAGCCCAGAGCTGCCCTTAACAGCTCTGGAGAACTAGAAAGAAAGCCAAAGGGAAGAAGAGCAAGCACTTTGGCCTCAAGCCAGGGCACCTGCAGCAAGTCGGTCCCTAGAGAAGACATGGAACAGCCACATCCCACACCCAGCCTTCCTTGGCAGCGGTAGAGCCCATCCCTCTTGTGGCTGGGGCTCTTCTGGATGTCTTCATACATTCTCTTGTCACATCCATCTCGCCCAGGCTGCTTCTCTTAATAAAGTGCCCCTGCCGCCACTCCAGACAGCCTGATGTTATCCTTCACCCTCACATCCTTCTCCCTAGCCAGCAGTGATTCAAGCTTCCTGGGTCACAGTAGTTTTCTGGGTGAAAAGCTTCCTGAGTGTCCATGTTTACGGCTTGAGGATCGCTTTGGGTGCATTCATAATCAAATACTCTTTCCATGCCCCACCACGGTGGTCTAAGCCCCAGGTTCAGATGCTTGCCCTGAGTTCTCCTCTGGCTGGCCTGTATCGTCTCCCCTAGACCAGTTGCCGCTCTCTCCGAACCTATAGCTTGGCTCTAATTTACAATGCCTTTCTCTCAGCAATTGTCAACAACACTCCCCACTCCCTTGTTTATACTCTATCCCCAAAGAGCAGAAAGCCTCTAGATCCAAAGGAATGAATCATGAGGGTAAAGTCTCAGGCACAGTGACAGGCAATGAAGGAGATACATTTGATCACATGATGTTTACCTATGTGTAAGGCTGGCCCTGAAGATATTCTGGCATTTTTGCTCAAATATAATGAAGACTTGGGATAGTAGCAAAGAAGCAAGGAGAAAACATCCTGGGCTGTGAATAGAGACAGCTTGCTGTTCTCCTCAGCTCTGGCAGCAATTAGACGTATGTGGCCTTACACTTCCCCCTTCTACGCCTCAGTTTCCCCACACATTAAATGAGAATGCTGGGTTAGCTGATTCCGTGGTTCCTTCCTGTTTAAATAAACACAGACTCTAAGTCCTCTGACATTGGAACTGCTGTTCTTGTAAGGGTAGGTCCTGATCACAGGGCAGCAGGTATATTAGCATTATTCATGCAGGGGAGTTAGACAAAGGTTGGCACTATGGGCATGGACCTGATACTGCTACTGAACAGCATAGGCACTATCTAATGTACCTTTATTATGGAAGGAAAGCAGAAAAAAAGGACTCCTTGGATTTCCAGAGGTAGTTATCTACCTGAGAATCCTAGACCCTCTAGGACTGATTCCACTAATGGAGGATCAGGGCTGACATTCCCCTGGGAAACACCTGTAACACCATCTTACCTGTTAAAATCTTACATTCCTTCTTTAGTGATTGGTAAATAGCTGCTCCCCCAAAGGCCTCCTGGTGCTCCCACTTCCTAGCACTACCCACTGGCTTCTGACCCAATCTCTGCTCTCCACAACCCTGTTCTGATTCTCAGAGCTGCTCATTCTGACTGAACTGAAGATTTGTCAGGTCTTTTCTAAGCTGAGGGATGCTTGACTCTCTGCCTCCTAGTCAGAGCACCTGATTGGTTTACAGAATAGAGAGAAAGAAGGGAGCCATGCTGGCAGGAGGGGACTGGTTATGTAGTTTGTGGCTCCTGCATTGGCGACCCTCTGCTTGGTGATCTGGATCTAGTTGCTAGAGGATGAAGGCAAATATGTTGATGTTGGAGGAATATGCCTCCTTGTTACGATTACCTTGCTACACTGCTGCCCTCCGCAGGGGCTGTCAGATGCTCCCACTTGCTCCCCAGGTCTAGGTGGGGAGCTCCCCCTGCTCAGCCTTTTTCCTTCTCCTATCCTTCCTTCCTTGGTAGCTGACGCCTTATCTTCTGCTTCCAGCTAGATAAGCTCCCTAGCACCGGAAATCCCCCTCACTTGGCCCCTCTTCTTCTTCCCCCTGAGATCCTGCTTCCTTCTCCCTGTCAAGGCCTAGCAGCTCCAATAGGTGCTTTGCTCCTGTGGTGTGAATGTTCTGTTCTCCCTGGGCCCAGTATTAATTTGCTCTCATTTGTGAGCTGCATTGT